TTTATTACTTTAAATTATACAATTCGTGAACTTGAATATGCACGACTTAACGAGTCAACTAATTAATTAATGAATAAAACTCACTTTTTTAACTTGTTGTTGATGCTGTGATACTTAATCAGAAAGTGATTATTCTGCCTCAGATCCGTGTTATCCAGCAAATTATCCATTATTTATGATTTTTTCACACTTCACAGGGCTAACCTCATTGTTGCTCCAACAAGTTACTCCAGAGCCATGGTTCGACCTCAATTTAATTCATCGGTAATAAATATATAAATCAATGTAGTGTTTAGTCGGTCTGAAAGCTCAATGTCACGGTGGGTACGCGGATCATCGAGTTATCAAGGACATGATAACAATTTATTCGATATAAGTCCGGCTATCGATTCGGTGTTGCTTCGGAATATTTCCGTATCGATTCGGCGGGAGAGCGTCGCGGGAGGGCACGTGACTCGTTCAAATATCCCAACAATCAGACAAGTTTAAATTAAATTTCATTACTAAATTACACTGTTTTTTACCGACGTAATTTACGTAAATTCTCTCGACGGGAGTTTTACATTTTTTACATCACTGTGAAAAGCTTGCAATTTTCGATTACTAGATGTTTCATTTTATTCAGACTGACGAAAACGCAGCACTGGACACATAAATACCATAAAAAATAGTATATTATGTCCCGAGGACAGATAAACCGCGAATTTTAACTTCACTCTGTTCGATTAGAACGCGGTTCTCGGTACTTGGGGCATAAAATATTACTTTATGTCCCTAGGACCATAAAACCGCGATTCTAACGTGCTCATGAGGGTCAGAGGAAGGGTTATAAGGGTGAGAATAAGAGTCATGAGGTTAAGAATCAGGTTGATGAGGGTCTGAATAAGGGTCATGAGGGTCAGAGAAAGGGTTATAAGGGTCATGAGGTTCAGAATCAGGTTGATGAGGGTCAGAATAAGGGTCATATGGGTCAGCTTAAGGGTCACAGAATAAGGTTCAGAATCAGGTTGATGAGGGTCAGAATAAGGGTCATATGGGTCAGCTTAAGGGTCACAGAATAAGGTTCAGAATCAGGTTGATGAGGGTCAGAATAAGGGTCATATGGGTCAGCTTAAGGGTCACAGAATAAGGTTCAGAATCAGGTTGATGAGGGTCAGAATAAGGGTCATATGGTTCAGCTTAACAGTCACAGAATAAGGGTCAGAATGAGGATCACGAGGGTCAGATTGAAAGTCACAGGGATCAGATTAAAGGTCGCGAAGGATATAATGAGGTTCAGAATCAGGTTGCCGAGGGTCAGAATAAGGGTCATATGGGTCAGCTTAAGGGTCACAGAATAAGGTTCAGAATCAGGTTGATGAGGGTCAGAATAAGGGTCATATGGTTCAGCTTAACAGTCACAGAATAAGGGTCAGAATGAGGATCACGAGGGTCAGATTAAGGATCACAGGGATCAGATTAAGGATCGCGAAGGATATGATGAGGTTCAGAATCAGGTTGATGAGGGTCAGAATAAGGGTCATATGGGTCAGCTTAACAATCCCAGAATAAGGGTCAGATTAAGGGTCAGAATGAGGATCACGAGGGTCAGATTAAGGGTCACAGGGATCAGATTAAAGGTCGCGAAGGATATAATGAGGTTCAGAATCAGGTTGATGAGGGTTAGAATAAGGGTCATATGGGTCAGCTTAAGGGTCACAGAATAAGGTTCAGAATCAGGTTGATGAGGGTCAGAATAAGGGTCATATGGGTCAGCTTAACAGTCACAGAATAAGGGTCAGATTAAGGGTCAGAATGAGGATCACGAGGGTCAGATTAAGGGTCACAGGGATCAGAATAAGGGTCAGATTGAGGGTCGCGAAGGATATCATAAGGGTCAGAATGAGGATCACGAGGGTCAGATTAAGGGTCACAGGGATCAGAATAAGGGTCAGATTGAGGGTCGCGAAGGATATAATAAGTGTCAGAATGAGGATCACAAGGGTCAGATTAAGGGCCACAAGGGTCTTACCCTAATTACCAAATTAATCATTTTCCAAACAGAATCGATAGCTTAATCAATTCATCAACCGATTCATCAGGCAACTAATTAAAAAACCATTGAACTAAAAATGACGATATAAACCCCTCCTCCCATCGCACTCCTTCACTAATAAACAATTCCCCTCCCAAAAAAATCTAATCCCCAAAAAAAATCACCATTAATCAACAAAAAAAAATTTAAAAAGCGACTGGAGATCTTTTCAAACAATTGAAAATTCAACTCGGAGAATTAGAATAGAATTAGAATAAAATTAAGATAGAATAACGACTAATCACCGCCGCAGGGTCAGATAAAAAATGAAAGCCCACCGAATAATTAACGAAAGCCCTAATGTACCGTGAGGTCATGTCAGTGCCCCCATTCCCCCCGAAAAGCGGCTCCAAATCGCTTCTAGTCCCGCATGCACCCGCTCATTCCGCAGCAGTTGCCGTTCGTCCGTCTCGCCGTGCGCACACAGCTCCGCAAGATCATTCCCACCATCAAAAATCGAAATCCCCTCGCGCGAAACAGATCAATTCCCTCGACATTCGAATGAAAAATCCAAATGCGTGAATTTAACAGCAATTAACAATGGATTTGTGTCACCCTCGTGTTACAGTGTTACTGTTTATCCTGACCATTTTCGGAGTACCGAGAGCACATGCCAGAACGTGGGGTAAGTCATCAATGATAAATTAATGATATCGCCTTGATTCTCCGCGATCTCAACGATTTTTGATGATTTGATCAGAGCGACGATTACTTGCGACGTTTTTTCGCCGATTGTACGATTATTTGCGGGTAATTGGGCCGGCTAGATAACCCCCCTGCATTCACGAGGACTCGTGTAACACTCGGTTGCCATTCAGTCGCCAGTACCTGTCACGTACGCCAGCTCTCGCTCCCTCTCTCTCTCTCTCGCACTCGTGCGACTCCCCTACGCGGGATTTGATTTTATTCCCGGTGATATTTTCCATTTTATGAATGAAACGTCCGGCGGGGGTGGGGCGAGAGTTTGCGGGGCTTTTCCCCTCGATTTTTGGGGGAGGGAAGGGCTCGGGTCACATTGAGCAGATTTTACGTAATCGGTTTGCGAAGAGCAGTCGTTGTGCACTTTGACCGCTGGGAATGCCTCAAGAGCATTAAAATATTTGAGTTTTTCGGGGGTTCGGGAGACCGGGAGAATGTTTTGAGGGGTATTTATTTTCGGGCGGCAATTGGGCCGGGGCGTGGGGGAAACATGGGTAAAGAATATTTTTTGTGGGTTGAAGAATATTTTTTATTTAGGTTTTAGGGGGGAGTGGGGTAAAATGGACAGTTTAGACTTTTGTTTTAATTACTCATAACTGAGAAACAAATTTATCAATTGAGCATTTAGGCTGATCATAAAGGGAAAGAATTGTTCTTTGCTATGAAAAAAAAATTATTGAATTTTATCAACATTTCAAGCCGTCATTAACATTTTTAAAAAAGTCAAAAGTGTCCATTTCACCCCAACCTCCCCTATTTACGTTTTTTTGTAGTTCTGTGGGCCGGTATATTTCTACACTGAGAAGAACTAAATAATTTCGAGGGGACAAGACAATTTTTTTTCTCTCGTAGGGGAGGTTGGGGTAAAACGGACACTTTTGAATTTTTTTTTAATGTTAATGACGGGATGAAATGTTGATAAAATTTAATATTTTTTTTTCATTACAAAGAACAATCTTTCCCTTTGTGATGAGCCTAAACTGAGCTCAATTGATAAATTTGTTTCTGAGTTATGAGTAATTAAAACAAAAGGCTAAAGTGTCCGTTTTACCCCACTCTCCCCTATAGAGCTGTTGGCCCCCCAGACGGGAATCGAACCCGAGTTTACCGCATGCCAATCCCACTCTAACCACAGCCGCCGCCGTCGGTTCGAGGGGACAATTTTTCTTTGGGAAAAAAATATTCGTTCCTTGCCAACGTATTCTCTCTAGGGTATAAACCTGTGAAGTTCTCTCAGATCAAATGATTGTCCCACAATAGATTATATTATTTCCTGCCAACAGTTGGAATTGTTCTAGGAATATTTCTGATAATCACGACAACAGTTTAATTTTCGTGAAAGATATCGAATTTACTTTCTACACGGAGAGAAATATTCAGTGAAAATTACGGAACCTCAATTCACTCACCGATTTCGGAATGGACTTAGAAAATTTAAGTGACGGTATCGTAATTTTTCACTGGAGATTCAGATAAAAATTACGAAACGCTCTGGAAAAATTCCCTGACAGTTCCGTAAAATTTCCTACAACCACATTTCGCTCTGGAATTCCGGAAAAGATACGGAATTTTTATTGAATATTTCTCTCAAGTAAATCTGGTGCACTGTACCAATTATTCTCACGTGGAACAAGTTTTTTAGCGGAACAAATTTTTTCTCTCAGCGCAGTTGGTGTTAACGAGGCTTCTTAACAGAGCCTCGTTAACAGTGGCTACAGTAGCTCTACCCTTACGCTAAATTCAAAGATAATTGAAAACTGCAAAAAAATTCCACAAAACTCGATTAGATTCGGAATCATAATTTTTTCTCGATTTAATTATCGTTTTGGGTTGTCTAAAGGCCCGTTTACACCAGCTTCAGTTAACTAAATCGTCAGTTAAGAAAAAAAATGGAAATTTGGATATTCGATGGATTATTTCGCGGGGGGCAGTATCTAAAGTTTAACCTATAAGTTAAGTTTAAAATTAAACCCAACTTAAATGAGGCTACATCATAAATAAAAAATTATTCCTTAAATTAAATATTGAAGAATTATGACCCCTCGGATACAGTTCACCCCGAGGATAAATTTTGACTTGAAAAATTCTATACCCGGGTATATGATTAATTGGTTTTTCAGTTAATACTGAAAGGCTCATCACTGAAATCAATTGAATGATAATGCACAAAGGGAGATAATCCGATTTTATCTAGAAACTAGAAAGAATTTTATTTTCTGACAAAAATTCTGAAATTTTTCACCGGAAATAACCAGAAATTTTCAGTAGTAATTAAAGTTTTCTAATTAGAGTCCAGTAGTAGTAGTGGTATCAACGACTAGGGTCAACCAATCATCCTTAGAATCATCTGCGCTATATTTCGATACCCGCTCCTGTGCTTGGGGCCCAAAAAAACACATCTTGTCTGACATCTCTGCTACAAACTCGGGTCTTCAACTCGGGCTTTCAATTGAAAGCCCGAGTTGAAGACCGTGTGACACGCTGCGTATGGAAGTGCGAATAGCCACGGCGATGATTTTGTGTGCAATCGAAAATTCCCTTTTACGAAATTTGAATTATTCATTTAGTAGTAAATTTACAGTTTCATATTAACAAATTTTAAATACATCATTATTTGTAAAAAATCACGTTATTAATATTATATTATTTGAAAAATTGAATCAACGTATTTTAAACCTTCATTAATGTAAGGTTCAAACCCATGTAATATTACAGAAATTTAATATTGATGGGGATCCCTGATTCCCAATTGACTTTTTGAGGAATATTTCCGAATCTAACGAAGATAGCGAAATTTTCGTAATTACATTTATTGCAGCTCTTAATCGGCTCTACAAAAAAGGTTATACGAAAAATTTTGCTATCTCCCTTAGATTCCGAGATATTTATTAACAACTGGTCAATAGTCAAAATTGACTTGTACCGTTTCACCACTTCGTTACTGAATTAAAGACCTCAACTGACATTGCGTCTTCCCATTTCCCTGTCCTCAGCATAATTTTGAATAACCGCATTCAACGAATTAAATGAATGTAATCCGATTCAATTTTCTTGACGAAGAAACAAAATCGAAATGTTGATAGCTTTTCCTCGAGGAAAAGTCCTCACTATCGTAACGCGATACGGTAACGCAATGCATAAGGTCAAGATCAGCGATAACAGTCAATTTATTTTCCCCCATTGATTTGATAAGTGATTAAGATTGATCCAAAATTCTCTGCGTCAATTTTTCTGTTCCCCAATTAATTCAAATGGTTTTCTATCACTTCCAATTAAACTTGGAGTGGATTCTCTCGCCACTTTAATTGGCCGAAAGAATTCCAGTTTCCTTTCGTTTGATTCTTGACGACTGTTCCCACAGTCCCGTCACTCAATTGAATATGCTAATATTGTTATCGGCAGTTGCAAACGTGAATTTGATTAATAAAAACGGTATCAGGATTAAATTTAGCAGTCAAGACGTAAGAGCCAATCGTTCAGATATGAATGGTTCGTTAAAGTCGCTCTATCATTACGACTCGAGTCATTGAGGATTTTCACAAGAAAGAAATTCTAAAAATTATTGTTTTTCTGTCTAAATTATTGAAATGAACGTAAGAATTATCTCATACTCTAATTTTTTCAGTTAAAAGTATTAAGAGGAGACTACTTGAGTTTTAAAGGTCGTGGGTTATTGGAGTGAGACTTTTCATACGTTGAAGATCGATTATGTAGATCTGAAAATGAATAATTAGTGCAAAACAAATTTTTGTTTATTGTTCGTTTTCCCGTAAACGCTTAAAATGCCAAAAACAGTCCAGGGCCTCCAATTTTTGAGCTCTAAAGGTTTTTTTTTTTCAAAATTTTCGGAAAAATATGTGGAATAACAATTAGGAGCTATTTTTTTTTTAATTCAACTATTACATGGCTAAATTTGCTTTTTTTGTATTTTTTTACACAAATAGTGAATTTTTTTACATGAAAAAAACGGAAATTAACTGTGTAGGAGTCGAATTCCAAGGGCAGAGCTACTTTAATTCATTAATTAACAAAAATATTATAATGGATCCAGTGATTTCCTCATTGTTTCGATGAATTATGCAAGTATGCTGATTTTAGTACTTGAAATCAAGGAAAATATCAGAATTTCCTCCTAAATAATCGAATGTTCTCCAAGAAACGTCTAGACATCCCTCATAAACCCTTCACCCTCACAATAATCGAAATAACTATTATTTACAACAAATTTCATTTATTTTTATTACTCACAGGCTTCTATTTTATATTTTTATTTTCAATACTTCTCATTTTTTAATTTTTATTTTTATTACTTTCCGGCTTTTATAGAATACAAACAAATTGCCGTGAAGAGTAATCCTTAAATCTAAACCGTCAAACGTTGAGAACGAGTGGCAAATACCAATGTAATCACGATAATCATTGTAAAAATTGATAAGCTATGCAAAATTCAAGCATTTACAGATCGAGATTGAATTAATTCAATGCAAATGTTGTACAATTGTTGTCCCGCGATTATAACAATCTATTTATGATGCAATCGATTCAAAGAATCACCAATTCCATTGGAATTCCCCTGGAATAGCACGCAAATAGTTTCACTATCACTATCTCCCCATCGATAGTCAATATCTTCCACTGATAAACAATTACTTGACACTTCCTCGCCCCAAAGGTCAGACATCACGTCTCCTACATGTGCAAAATCTCAAAACAGCAATTTGTTTTGAGCGCATTTTCCTCCCGATAACTCCGTCAATATTCACGAATTTTATTTGATATTGATTTTATTTGATATTGATATTATTATATTGTGGAGGTGATCAGATTGTCGAAGGGGTTGACAAAACGCCCAATCTTTTTCCCAAGAATTTCCGCCGTCAAATAGGAGAGGGGATTAGAAAGAAAAACCTGAGTGGCCCGTTAACACGTCCAAAAAAATCCATAAAAAACCCTGCGAATTCGATTTTTCTATACAATTTATTCTATTGAGACAACTGTCTAGAAATTTCTGGTTTCAAAATTTTCGGAGTTTTTTTGTCTGATTTTTTTAATGAAAAAAATAATAAAAATTGAGTAGAAATAACTTGGAAAATTTCTGTCAATGAATTCCTATAGAAAGAAGTTTTATAGAATTATGAAATTCCACATTTTCCATAAACAACGATTCGTAAAGCTGTTGAGTTCTTTAATGGAATCGGCCAAAAACTACAAAAATTTTTAATAGAAGTTCAATAGAAATCCAATAGAATGTTCTATCGAATTCCCTAGAATTCACAGAAATTCTCCGAGGGATTTGGAACAGCAGCAAGAATATATTTCAGAGATTATTACGATGATGTTTAATCTCTCTATATTATAAAAATCCAAATCGACTTCTGGTGATAAAAATATGGTACTCGAAATGAAAACTCCACAATTAAGGATCACAAGGGTCGAAATAAGGATCACGAGGGTCAAAATAATGGTCATGAGTGTCAGAATAAGGTCATAAGGGTCACGAAGTTCAGAATCGCGTCATGAGGGTCAGAATAAGGGCCACGAGAGTCAGAATGAGGGTCACGATGGTTCGAATAAGGGTCATGAGGGCCAGAAAAAGGGTTACGAGGGTTATATTAAGGATCTGAAGGTTCAGAATGAGGACCATGCGGGTCAGAATAAGGGTCACGACAGTCAGATTAAGGGTCACGACGGTCAGATTAAGGGTCAGAGGGCTCAAATTAGGGGTCCAGGGTCAAAATGAGGGTCACAAGGTTCAGAATCGGAGTTACCAGTGCCAGGATAAGGGTCACGACTGTCAGATTAAGGGTCACAGGGGCCAGGAGTTGAAATAAGGGTCACGAGGGTGAGAATGAGCGTCACGACCGTTAGAATAAAGGTCATGAGGGTCAGATTAAGGGTCACGAGGGGTATAATTCGGGTCAAAATGAGGGTCAAGAGGGTCAGAATAACGATGATGGGGGTCGTATGTAGGTCATATGGGAGTTGGCGAGCGGAACGCGCAGGGGGCGTAGCTCAATAAAAAAAATCGCAGAATAAACTTACAAAGCCATCAATAATCACCAACAATGGCGAATAATTTCTAGATCTGGCGGTGACGATCGGTCGCGAGATAAACTTCCTCTCCTCCAATGGCACCCTAATAGGCCGAGTGCTGAACCCCTCCGCGGTTTCCCTCACAGCAATGGCCTACGACGACGCGACCCACGAGATGTACCTCGGTGACACCAGGAACAAGAACATCTCGATCTTCTCAAAGACCTTGAGCGAAGACACCAAGACCTGGACACCAGTCCTCCCCAACACCAACTCCACCCACATAATCGGCATGGTCTTCGACCCAGTGTCCTCTTCCCTCTTCTACATAGACTCAAAGTTGTCCTCAATCCTGAATCTGAAGGTGAATCCCTCGAGCAACAAGTCGACTCGAGACTTCACTCCTCCCCCAGAGGTGATCCTGGAGCTGCCAGACCAGAGCCCCAGGGGTCTCTCCCTGGACCTCTGCAGGAGGACTCTCTACTGGGCGAACAGCAACGCCTCGAGCCCCTCGATTGAGTCCTCAGACCTCTCGGGCACCTCCAGAAGAACAATTATCAACTCGAACCTTTACGAGCCCCTGGCAGTGGCTGTGGACCACACCTCGGGGAAACTCTACTGGATCGACGACGAGGAGGGGATTCACTACAAGATCGAGAGGAGCAATCTCGATGGCTCCATGAGGGAGCTTCTCGTCCATGGAAAGCACCAGCAGCCCGTTCACCTGGCGATCGACGACCAGTCGATTTACTGGACTGACTGGGTGCACTCGTCAATCTGGAGACTCAGGAAGACACCAGTCCCTGGGGACGAGCCCGAGAAGTGGAAGTCCTTTTTCGATACCAATCGAGACGCCGATCCAACTAGTCTGATCTCACGGGATAATCTGGGGCGAGTGGATTGCGTTGCTGTCGAGAGGCTGAGGAAGTCGAAGCTGGAGGAGGATCAGCAGGATGTGGAGGTGTACGAAGGGCTCGTTACCAGTACTGAAGATGATGGAGATGGGAAGAGCAAGGAAGCCATGTTCTGCTTGCATGGGGCCAAGTTGACGGAGGGGAACAGGAGTTGTTCCTGCCAGAAGGGGTACGATGGGGTGCATTGTGAGACGTCAGTTTGCCATAATTATTGTGTCAGGGGGGAGTGCACGGTGGATTACGAGGGGAGGCCGAGGTGCAAGTGTCCCTCGAGGTTCAGGGGCAGGAGGTGCGAGCAGGATGCCTGCGTTGGGTTCTGTCTCAATGGGGGAGAGTGCGAGATTCAGAATGGCGAACCCTACTGCAGGTGCCAGGGGGCCACTGGGGTCAGGTGCGAGGAGAGGATTGGGGGGGATGGGGTCTGCGGTCTTCTCTGCAGGAGTGGGGTGCAGGAGTTTGGCAGCTATGACAGAATAATTTGCAGGTAAATTCAATGGGGTTTTTAGTGGATTGATTAATTGACTGATTTGACGGATTTTATTTATGTTTTGGAATTTAATTAATTAATTTCATTAATTCCCTTAATTATTGATTGATTAATTAATTCTTGCAATAGTTAATTTATTAATTAAAATGATTAATTTATTGAAATAACTAATTAGGAATTTAATTGATTAATGAAAATAATTAATTTGAATAGTTAATTGAGTTTATTATTAGTTAAATTGTGTGAGTCGTTTTAGGAGAATGTGTGAAGGACATTTTTTGTTTAAACTTTCAAGATCTAAAAAATGCCCTCGTGTTGTAATAACACCAGTCATTTTCAAGATAATTGCGGAATTAATAATATGTCAGTATGAGCTAATGATTAGTATGGGTTTTTTGTTCTCAATTGTCGAATTAGCTTAATGATTAGTAATTTCGGGAAAAAATATCAAAAGACTTTTTGATAGACAATTTTAAAATAAACTGAAATTTTCTTCTGGCATTTTTTTTCATTATTTATTGATGAAGTAATTACACAAATGATAATTATCGAAGAATGAATCATTTCAGGGCAAAATATCAAAAGCTTTTTTGTAAAGAATTTTATAATCAACAACAAAAAATATAAAAAATGTATTTTTAAAATTATTCTTAGAATCACTCACTAATAAGATAATGGTCATTGATTAAATCCTACCATTAATTATAAAATTACTTCGACAATTACCGATTTTGAGGAAAAATACCAGACTTTTTTTCTGTAAAATTTAATTCCAAGTTAATAATAATGAAAAGGTATCTCATGAAATTTTCCTCAAAACCACTAATGTCTCAAATTAATGAACAATTAAAATCATCTAAAGAATGATTGATTTCAGGGCATAATATCAAGAGCTCAGTTGTAAACAATTTTATAATCAACAACAAAAAATATGAAAAATGTATTTTTAAAATTCTTAGAATCACCCAGTAATAGAATAATTGTCATTGATTAAATCCTCCCATTAACTATAAAATTCCTTCGACAATAACTGATTTTGAGGGAAAATACCAGACGTTTTTTTCTATCAAATTTAATTCCAACTTAATAATAATGTGAAAGGACTCAAATAATAATGAAATTTCCCTCAAAACCCCTGTCTGAAATTAATAAACAATTAATAAAAAGTAACTCTAATAGCCCAATTACTTAATCAATTAATTAATTATTTAATCTATTTTTTTACAGATGCTCAGAGAGAAATGCAACTGAAAATTCACAATGCAGCATGTACACATACGGTGTAGAGAACAAAATCCTAGTGATAATATTCTCAGTGATAATTAGCGTACTTACGGCATCAATAATCGTACTTAGTTATTTCGTCAACAAATTCCGTCGGAGGCCGAGGATAAAGAAGCGCTTTGTAGTCAGTAAGAATGGGATAACTCCGCTGACATCGAGACCACAATTGCCAGGGGACCAGTGCGAAATTATGATTGAGAACTGTTGCAACATGAATATCTGTGAGACGGTGAGCATATTCATTTTTTCCTGTTGGAGATGGATTTCTCAACGGAAAAGGGCTCACATTTTCTCCCAAGATCATTGATCACTGAGGCCACTGCGTTGTTGAAAAAGATATCGTAAAAAGTCAACTGATTTCATTCTGTCTGTTAATTTTGCAATCGTCTCAGTAAAAACAAGTCGTGGGACATTTTTTCAGAGAATTTTGGTTTAGGTATTTCAGTATTTTCTTGCAGATTCATTCGTTAGTGAAATAATTACATAATCAACCAGAAACGATCTTTAAAGAGACTTTGATTTCTTTAAAGTCGTATGAATACATTTAAAAAATTCAAAAAGCCCAAAAAAAAATCCATTATTGATAATTTTCTCATGAAAATCAAATCAATTCATCTCGTTAAATATAAATTATTTATTACAAAAGTTTAACACCGACGATAATTTTTTTATTGGGCATAGACTGTTTATTTATTTTTATGATTTTTTGACATTTTTTTCTAGATTTTCTTGTTGATGTCGAAAATTTAATTTTCTCATAAGACCTTGCGTTATTTTTAGCATTCTAGATTTATAAAAAATTATAAATAACAATTAACCATCACAACAATTAACAATTATTATTAATAATAATAATATATTGTTATTAATTATTAATAATTTATTAATAATAATAACACTAGACTGTCGATTAAGCACTAACTCAACCCGTATATTTCTATTCATATTTACTTTCGTTTAGAATTCATTTCAGATTTTAATCTTCAAAATTTAAATTTTGTTTATACTATTTTTAAAAAATTGGGGATATATTATGGAATTATCCCCATGACGAGTGATTTTAGGAGAAAGTGGCATAAACATTGTAGACAATTTCATATCTATAGAAAAGTTCTGTAATATTTTTTCGTAAAGAGTTAATTGATTTCATTCCGTTGATTAATTGTGCAACTATCAAGGGGACTGAATGGAAAAATAAATAAATGAAGAAATAAAATCACAGGACATTTTGTTTTTGTAGATAATTCGTTAGAGGTCTTTCAACATTTTCTCGTGAAATCACATGTCACTCAAATAATTACGTAATCAACAAGAAAACATCTCTAATAGGATTTTTAATGTACCATGGAATTATCCACGTGACGAGTGATTTTAAGAGAAAGTGTCATAAACATTGGAGACAATTTCATAATTTATAGAAAAGTCCTGTAACATTTTCTTGCAAAAAGTTAATTGAATTCATTCCCTTGATTAATTGTGCAATTATTTCAGGACTGAGTGGATCTAGAAAAAAAGTCACAGGACATTTTCTGTAGGAAATTTATTAGAGGACTTCCGACATTTTCTCGTGAAATCACATGTCACTGAAGTCATTACATAATCAACAAAATGAGATCTCTAATAACATTTTTAATGGATCATGAAATTGTCCCCAAGGCTAGTGATTTTAAGAAAAAGTGTCATAATTATTGTTTGTAGACAACTTTATGATCTATAAAAAAAGTTCTGTAATATATTTTTTGTAAAACGTAATTTTATTTCGTTCTATTGATCAATTGTGCAATTATCTCGGGACTGAGTGGATCTAGAAAAAACGTCACATAACTTTTTTTATAAAAAATTCATGAGCGGTTTCTCAACATTTTCTCGTAAAGTCGCATGTCACTGAAATATCTACATAATCAACAGGAAAACATGTTCAGTAAGATTTATCGTGTATCATAGAATTATCCCCATAATCAGTGATTTTAAGAGAAAGTGTCACAAATAATTGTTTGTAGAAAATGTATTAGAGGTCTTCCTTTGAACATTTTCTCGTGAAATCACGTGTCACGGAAATAATTACATAATCGATAAGAAAACATCTTCAGTAAGATTTTCATATATTATGGAATTATCGCCATCACAAGTAATTTTAAGAAACAGTGCCATAAACATCGTTTCCAGACAATTTCCGGATCTGTGAAAAAATCTCTCACTAATTTTCCATAAATTCCTCGTTACTGAGAAAATTATGTAATAAATACTGTAATAATTCATTTGCTTTTATTCTGTCAATCAGTCGTGGGATTGTCTCGATAATAAAATAACTGTAGGAGAAAAAATCAGAAGACATTTTTGCACAGACCTTGATGATCTGTACAAAAATGATGAGTTTATTTTTTTTATCAATTGGATAATTAACAAAAATGGAAAACTTCACGCGATATACATAAAAAACTAACTGACGACAATTAAAAATGTTCTAGCCATGCTTCGAGCCCAATCTTCGAAGTCCAGAGCCCAGACTCAGCAAAAAAGAGGAGAAAAACTCTCTCCTCCTGGACATGGATGGGAACAATTCGTGCTAGCACAGAATATAAAAAAAAATCCCATCAATTCACCTTCATCAAGACAATTTCGCTGTCACGAGACTGTTTAAACTCTCACTTGTCTACAAATTAAGTGGGTAAATCATGGAAAAAAACATTTAGTATTATTGTTAAGTTTGACAATGACGAGAAAACGTCGCCAAAGGAATCCTCGTAAACTTCGATAGCTTTGCGATGAATTTTTAAGATTCTTGTTTCGATAAACAGGAATATTTAAAAAACACGAGGGAGTACCAATGAACAATCATTCATTTTAATCGCCTTTTCAAGCCCAGAGAATTGAAGTTTACGAATGGAAATAGCTCGGGTGCTGATTTTTAGTTACCAAAGAGTAATGCAACAGGATTTAAATTATACTTAATTATCATTAACAATTATTCAATTGATCATTTGTCATTGATTAATTTTAATGGGCACTCCCACTGGAGATTTAGCGTGGATATGTCCGGTGGTGGGGGTATTTGTTATTGAATGGAGCTCATAGCTGCGGATTTAAGAAATAACTCAATATTTCAGTTGGAAACGCAGTTTAATTACCTGAAGGACATTTTCCCATTTTTTTTTCATTTCGTTGAAACGAGATACTTGAACGTTGAAATTCAACATATCATGACATTTATTACTGCCTACGTGTCCAAAGCTTCTGAGTCAATGCCATGATTGGATTTCAGAGCACAAATGAAATTGAAAGGAGAAAGATAGACTGGGGGAGGAATTTATTCTTGCGAAATTCATTCGGGATGAGTTTTTTATTTGTATCTCTTGAAATAAAGGAGATGGGGGAATTTTCATGAGGACCTTTTTTGTAGAGGGAACAGAGAGCTTTAAATTAGATCTTCACAAAAATTTTGCTACTTAGCTTAGATCGTGAGATATTCAACAAAAACTAAGCTGCGAGGTACATTGGCTTAGGATAAGAGGGATTAAATGAATTATTTTCAATTTATTTCACAGAGTGAATTGATTTTTTTTTTCATTTATTGATATGTTTTCAGGTTTCAAAATTAAATTTGATTTAGTAATTTATATTAACGAATTCATGTTTTATCTCATCAATTCATGAAATTCTAGACTTTCTATTTGGATATCCATTGGGAAAATTAGTCAAGCAAAAATAAATATCTCCCTCAGTGCAAAAAAAAAACAAAAGAAAGACACCCAAAAAACTGGTCACGAACAGGCATTGTTTAATGTCATCAAAGGTACTGAAATTTTTGTGGGGATTTTTATTGTAAAATAACAAGAGTATAAATATTTTCACAAAAATTTCACTTTGTTTAAATCGTGAGGTATTCATCCAAAATTAATCTTCAAATTAAATTGATGTGGGATGAGAGGGGTAAAATGAGTTCTAAATATTTTTTTAGGCTTCAAAATGAAACTTCATTTACGTTTATGTCCTCTGTATCATTTTACGACTGAAGTTCTGAAATTCTAGGCTTTCTATTTGGATATCCATTGGAAAAATTAGTCAAGCAAAAATAAATATTACATTATTGAATGCCTTCAATGGTACTGAAATGTCTGTGGGGATTTTTATCGCAGAATAAAAAAAGTATAAGTAATATTTTCACAAAAATTTCACTATTTCGTTTAAATCGTCCGATATTCATCCAAAATTAATCTTCAAATTAAATTAACTTAGGATGAGAGAAGTAAAATGAATTATAGTTATTTTTTTAAGTTTCAAATTTCACAAAAATTTCACCATTTCTGGTAAATCATGAAGTTTTCACCAAAATCTAATCATCAAATTCAATTGCTGTAGTATGAGAGGGGTAAAATGGGTTCTAAATATTTTTTTAGGCTTTAAAATGAAACATGATTTATGTTGACGTCCCCCATCTCACTTTGCCGCTGAAGTTCTGAAATTCTAGGCTTTCCATTTGGATATCCATTGGAAAAATTAGTCAAGCAAAAATAAATATCTCCCTCAGCGCAGAAAAGTGACACCAAAAACTGCCTGATCATACTATTTAATGTCTTCAAAACTTGTAAATTGTTAACGTCAGCAGTAGCTGAGAACCATGATGGAGTACCGTATGGAGTTACACCGTGTCATAATGAAATTAATAGTCAGCGGTTAACCGGTACTAGCCATTCCGCGTGTAGAAATGATATACGCTGATAAGTAAGGCTGAACCCAAGCTGTTAATCTACATTAATGTAAATAAATATTCATATGAATCATTTAACTAACAGAACAGAACAGCCAGTGCTATTAAAAATCAATGCGTTACGAAATCGTGAGGAGAATGGAAGAAACATTGAATCTCTGATAACGATTATAAATATCTCCTTCCATTCGAATTTCTGGAGATGAAACGATGAAAATAGTTCATTTACCTCATTTAGTTATTAGTTTATTTCATTGTAATTCACCCGAAAAATGATTTTCAAAATTGCCTTTTATTATCAAAGCTTTATTTTCTATTTTTAAATTATTAATTGCAATTGGATCTGTTTAGTTTTGGTTTTTTTATTTCATTTCGACTTTTTTTTTTATTTATTACTAGAAGTGAGTTGTGAATTCGAGGGTGAAACGTCATGGGTTAATTTTTTTCATTTTGCATATTCAATTATTGTAGAGAATTTAATTTTCATCAGAAACAATAGCTTTTCATGGGTTAAAATCATCGATAGAAAATTAAAATCAACTCCTCACGTTTTACAAAATTCACAACAGCTGTATTGTTTTTTTGGGTGAAAAGTAGCATTTTATCTGAAATTTTAGTGTTGTATGTTCATGGCTAGAGTCACTCGATCATGTCATTTTTTCATGGACTAAAAAACCAACAAATGCCTTATGGGGTTTATATAAAATAAGAAATGTCACGGTTTCAGTGAGTAAAGAAATACTTAACGCCATCGCCACGCAATCCATTCATTCGAACAATCATTGTCCACTGAATTTTCGTGGAAATAAATTGTGAGGAACTGCACTCAGCAGTTCTGGACAGGTTTAAGATTTTGATATTGAATTTATTTCGTGATAATTAGTCATTGGAGCTTTGGAAAACACCCTTTTCCCAGGCACTGATCACCAGCGACGTGATAGTGGATTTATGGAGAAAGGGGTGTATTCCCAAATTATGTATCAATCTTCAAACCATCATTTTCGTTTCTTTCTGTAATTATCATGATCATTCTTCCTTGAGTCTAGTAGAGTAGAATTTTTACGAGGGTAGAAATTACATTAGAAGGAATTCATGTACTTGAGATGTACATTAATTAGTAATTGTCATTTATGCGCTGGAGCATGAATAATTACTGTAAAAAGAATAAATTGATATGGGAAATTAAGTAAACTTTTGCAGATGATTTATTTTAAACAGACAAATGATCCTCTTTTGTGTTTCAAAATGAATTGTTTTGTGTCGGAAAGTCGTTCATGGAGAAAAGGGTGTATTCCAAAATTGTTTATCAATCTTCAAACCATCATTTTCGTTTCTTTCTGTAATTATCATGATCATTCTTCCTTGAGTCTAGTAGAGTAGAATTTTTACGAGGGTAAAAATTACATTAGAAGGAATTCATGTACTTGAGATGTACATTAATTAGTAATTGTCATTTATGCGCTGGAGCATGAATAATTACTGTAAAAAGAATAAATTGATATGGGAAATTAAGTAAACTTTTGCAGATGATTTATTTTAAACAGACAAATGATCCTCTTTTGTGTTTCAAAATGGATTGTTTTGTGTCGAAAGGTCGTTCATGGAGAAAAGGGTGTATTCCAAAATTGTTTATCAGTCTTCAAACCATCATTTTCGTTTCTTTCTGTAATTATCATTATCACTCCTCCTTGGCTCTAGTAGAGTAGAATTTTTATGAATTATTCCTTCTAATTTAATTTTTTAATTGAATTACAAGGAATTCATGTACTTGAGCTGTACATTAACGAGTACTCCTCACTTATGTGCAAGGATATGAATAATTATTGTAAAAAGAATAAATTGATAAGGAAAATTAATTAAACTTTTCGCAGATAATTTATTATAAACAGACAAATGATCCTCTCTTATGTTTCAACATGAATTGTTTTGTGCCCAAAGATTATTTTCACCTCTGAATAACAAACGAATGTGGTTCAGGAACTGTTAGACAATTCGATTATTTATCAGCAGCCAATTGTGACGAGGGGAGGACGACCTTTTCACCTGGTTTGAAGGCTGGCATTCCGATGTAAGGACAGCTTGCACAGCGGAATGCATCTCCGAGGTAGCACTAATAACGAGAAAATCGAATGAAACTCAATTAATAATCACATAATTATGGATAAAATTATGAATAAATACAACAGAAAAAATTGGTGCCCATCAATAATGATTGCTATTCAACAAATGAAATGTTAAACGTTGATTGGCGTATAGAAGAAAAAGTTCACGTAGTGTTCACTCTCTTACATTTCCACAAGACGATTTTTCGGTTTTCTCCTTTGCAGCTTCTCCATTCAATTCTTCAGCTAGACCACAGGAGCAGTCTTTGCAGGCTTTACGTTTGCCAGTTGTTCCACAGACTATTTAAAAATGGAAAAAAAAATCAGTATAAAAAAAAGTAAAGAATAAATTATGGATAATGAAATTTTATGAAATTAAAATTAATAGAAATCGTAATGAATTAAATTTTGGTTTGTCAATTATTCTGAAAGTGGTTATGAAAGAAAATGTCGTGAGACGTTTCTTATAGCGGGGGAAATTTCCTCTGGAAAATGTCTCCCTTTCGTGAAATAACTTACTCCAGAGATAATTCAATAATTGATTTGCAGAATAAAATTAGTTGAATTCTTTCATCTTTGGTTCTTAGGTAATTATTCCCCTCATGGATTATTTTGGAAAAAATATGTCTAGAGAATGTTCTTGCAGAGACATTAATTTTCCACAAAATAACTGTCTTGACATTCTGTTCTAGAAGCATTCAGTCTTAACGTCATTGCATAGTTAATTACAATATTTTGATTAGTTTAGAATTATCTTAGAGGCGAGTGGTTGTAGAAGATACCAAAAAAATTATCTACTAAAATCACCCCTCAATAAAAGAATTGAACATTCAAAAAAATAATTTAATTGCAATAATTTAGTAATTTAGTAGTATCAATAATTTAGTAATTATTATGAAGATTCAATATCATTTTTCTTGTTGTATGAAAATGTAAATTACCCCTGAGTGATGATTCCGCAGGTTTTTTCAAGTCCTCTTCATCCAATAAATCGTCCTCATCGATCAGGTCATCCTCAACAGCATCATCGAGCTTCCAAACGTTCTGTGGTTTCTTTGCAAAGGACAAAGCCACTGAAGATCCAATCTAAATGGGCAATAATTTGAAACCCATGTATTTCAATTCAGACATTGTTCAAGACATGAATCATACAGGGAGAATAGTCCAAATATGGAACGATCAAGACCCGCTTTAAAGTTAAAGTTGAAATTTATGCACTCGAAAAGTATAAACTGACGCATTCATGAGACGAAAATAGAACGACGATTTGATTCAATCAGAAATCAATGAAAAAAAAAACATTATAAAAGGTCCTGATTTAATACATGTCTCCTTTACGAAACTTATTAAATATTACAGGGTTTTGAATATTCAATATATTATAGTATAACCAAAATATAACCAAGAACACCAGAAACAAATTACAAATATATTCAAATACTTATTCCATTTCGTTCAGATGTCAGTAACTCTGGCGATCGTATGTGATATTAATGCTAATATTGTTATAAAATATAATACATTCTATCTGGTGGAGTTGGTGGAAGTATAGGAGAGGATGGGGTAAAATAGACGGATCCGTGACTAAATAACTACGAAAAAATAACTTACGACAAAAAAACTTGGTCGTAATAACTTTTACATAAAAAACTTATGCAAAAATAACCAGAAACACAAATAATTTGGGACAAAATAGCCAGAAAAAAAATAACAAGCTCCAAAAATAACTCCAAATGAAGTACAATTGTAACAGACTACGGCAAAAAAAGAAAGGGGATAAAATATCTAGAAAGCTTAGCAATGAATATTGTTTTGTCAGCTAGAAGGCAAAAGAAAAAAATTGAAAACACAAAGAAACGCAGAAAACAAGTGACTGAAAGCAACAAATTATTTATGTCTCAATGAAGGATTATATCCGAAGTTATTTAACGAAATATTTAATCACAAATTATTTATATCTCAAGTTATTTTGGCAAAGTTATTTCAACGTAGTTATTTTGACGCAAATTATTTAGTCGTGCTCCCAAATGGACACTTGATTTTTTTTTGAATATTCATAGCTCAGAAACAGATCATCAATTAAGCTCAGTCTAAGCTCATCACAAAGAGGAATCATTGTTCTTTCTATTGAAAAATAAAATTATGCAATTTAATGAACAACTCAACACGTCATGAATATTTCAAAAAAAGTCAGGAGTGTCCATTTTACCGTACCCTCTCCTATACAAGGCGTGTGCAGATGTAAAACTAAGCAAAAATAAGCAGAAACACAAATAATTTGGGACAAAATAGCCAGAAAAAAAATAACAAGCTCCAAAAATAACTCCAAATGAAGTACAATTGTAACAGACTACGGCAAAAAAAGAAAGGGGATAAAATATCTAGAAAGCTTAGCAATGAATATTGTTTTGTCAGCTAGAAGGCAAAAGAAAAAAATTGAAAACACAAAGAAACGCAGAAAACAAGTGACTGAAAGCAACAAATTATTTATGTCTCAATGAAGGATTATATCCGAAGTTATTTAACGAAATATTTAATCACAAATTATTTATATCTCAAGTTATTTTGGCAAAGTTATTTCAACGTAGTTATTTTGACGCAAATTATTTAGTCGTGCTCCCAAATGGACACTTGATTTTTTTTTGAATATTCATAGCTCAGAAACAGATCATCAATTAAGCTCAGTCTAAGCTCATCACAAAGAGGAATCATTGTTCTTTCTATTGAAAAATAAAATTATGCAATTTAATGAACAACTCAACACGTCATGAATATTTCAAAAAAAGTCAGGAGTGTCCATTTTACCGTACCCTCTCCTATACAAGGCGTGTGCAGATGTAAAACTAAGCAAAAATAAGCAGAAACACAAATAATTTGGGACAAAATAGCCAGAAAAAAAATAACAAGCTCCAAAAATAACTCCAAATGAAGTACAATTGTAACAGACTACGGCAAAAAAAGAAAGGGGATAAAATATCTAGAAAGCTTAGCAATGAATATTGTTTTGTCAGCTAGAAGGCAAAAGAAAAAAATTGAAAACACAAAGAAACGCAGAAAACAAGTGACTGAAAGCAACAAATTATTTATGTCTCAATGAAGGATTATATCCGAAGTTATTTAACGAAATATTTAATCACAAATTATTTATATCTCAAGTTATTTTGGCAAAGTTATTTCAACGTAGTTATTTTGACGCAAATTATTTAGTCGTGCTCCCAAATGGACACTTGATTTTTTTTTGAATATTCATAGCTCAGAAACAGATCATCAATTAAGCTCAGTCTAAGCTCATCACAAAGAGGAATCATTGTTCTTTCTATTGAAAAATAAAATTATGCAATTTAATGAACAACTCAACACGTCATGAATATTTCAAAAAAAGTCAGGAGTGTCCATTTTACCGTACCCTCTCCTATACAAGGCGTGTGCAGATGTAAAACTAAGCAAAAATAAGCAGAAACACAAATAATTTGGGACAAAATAGCCAGAAAAAAAATAACAAGCTCCAAAAATAACTCCAAATGAAGTACAATTGTAACAGACTACGGCAAAAAAAGAAAGGGGATAAAATATCTAGAAAGCTTAGCAATGAATATTGTTTTGTCAGCTAGAAGGCAAAAGAAAAAAATTGAAAACACAAAGAAACGCAGAAAACAAGTGACTGAAAGCAACAAATTATTTATGTCTCAATGAAGGATTATATCCGAAGTTATTTAACGAAATATTTAATCACAAATTATTTATATCTCAAGTTATTTTGGCAAAGTTATTTCAACGTAGTTATTTTGACGCAAATTATTTAGTCGTGCTCCCAAATGGACACTTGATTTTTTTTTGAATATTCATAGCTCAGAAACAGATCATCAATTAAGCTCAGTCTAAGCTCATCACAAAGAGGAATCATTGTTCTTTCTATTGAAAAATAAAATTATGCAATTTAATGAACAACTCAACACGTCATGAATATTTCAAAAAAAGTCAGGAGTGTCCATTTTACCGTACCCTCTCCTATACAAGGCGTGTGCAGATGTAAAACTAAGCAAAAATAAGCAGAAACACAAATAATTTGGGACAAAATAGCCAGAAAAAAAATAACAAGCTCCAAAAATAACTCCAAATGAAGTACAATTGTAACAGACTACGGCAAAAAAAGAAAGGGGATAAAATATCTAGAAAGCTTAGCAATGAATATTGTTTTGTCAGCTAGAAGGCAAAAGAAAAAAATTGAAAACACAAAGAAACGCAGAAAACAAGTGACTGAAAGCAACAAATTATTTATGTCTCAATGAAGGATTATATCCGAAGTTATTTAACGAAATATTTAATCACAAATTATTTATATCTCAAGTTATTTTGGCAAAGTTATTTCAACGTAGTTATTTTGACGCAAATTATTTAGTCGTGCTCCCAAATGGACACTTGATTTTTTTTGAATATTCATAGCTCAGAAACAGATCATCAATTAAGCTCAGTCTAAGCTCATCACAAAGAGGAATCATTGTTCTTTCTATTGAAAAATAAAATTGTGCCATTTAATGAACAATTCAACACGTCATGAACATTTCAAAAAAAGTCAAGTGTCCATTTTACCCCACCCTCCCCTATACAAGGCGTGTGCAGATGTAAAACTGTAAAAGTAACATCAATGAAATAAATTCTATTCTATTCTATTCTATATTATATTATTCAATATTGAATAACTTAATATTGAATATGTGTACAAAATGTGTACCTCATACGAAGGTTTTTCCCCAAAAATCTGGCAAACGCCCAGGTCATCCTGGTACTCATCACTGAGAAGACCTTGGATCCTCCACGTTGACGTCAGAGGACTGACTCTGCACTCTTTGAACCTAAAACCACTGACCCTCAGGGCTGAGATGTCCTCGGAGAAGAGTTTGTCCGCCTCATTGGCCTTGGAATTGTCAATTAATTTATGTAGAACAATAGATCCCCCTGGGGCGACGAATTTGAGGAGATCAACGAGGTCTTTCTGCTCGTGAGCATCGAATGCCAGGACCCAATTGAAGGACGAGTCGTTCGCAACTGCAGATTCAACAGAACAAGCGAATCAGAAGTTGATCGGGTGAGGGGGAAATTGAATATTCTGGATGGATATTTACGTGTCTTCGAGTCAGCTGACTTGATCACCTTAGCTTCACAATTGTTAACCTCCAACAGAGACGGGGGAAAGTCGGTTGTGCTCACTTTGTTATTCAACAGCACCAGGACTTTGTCGTCCTTTTTGACGAAGTCGAACATTGTTTATTTGCGTTGCACGTCACTCGCTCACTAGAGTAAGTTATTATTGTTAGTTGAACAACGATTGTGTCGCGTTGATCTGCAAGTGTTTTCGTCGGTGAACGTAGCGGTCAGCCAGGTTAGGCTAGGCTGTTCTCCAAACACATGGGAGAAGAGGACAGTTGCGGACGGAGGGTTGGGCATCTCTCGATTACCACAGATTTTTACGTTGTAAAAACCCGTAGTTTACGTAGTGGACTTTCCCCCTGAAAAAATCACGGATCTGACACTTTGATCCCAGGTGAAAAAAAAAATTCTATTTTTTACTTTTCCCAAATACTTTTGAGAGTTCTGGATAGCCCGTCACTTAAATAGTCGGAATCGACTTTCACCCGGCGAAAAAATTCGATTTTGGCGAAAGTCGACTTTTCCCCTGAAAAAATCCAAGATATGACACTTTGGGCCCCAGGTGAAAAAAAAAATTTTTTATTTTTCACTTTTTCCATATACTATTGAGAGTTCTGGATAGCCCGTCACTTAAATAGTCGAAATCGACTTTCACCCGGCGAACAAATTCGATTTTGGCGAAAGTCGACTTTTCCCCTGAAAAAATCCAAGATATGACACTTTGGGCCTCAGGTGAAAAAAAAAATTTTTCATTTTTTACTTTTTCCATATACTATTGAGAGTTCTGGATAGCCCGTCACTTAAATAGCCGGAATCGACTTTCACCCGGCGAAAAAATTCGATTTTGGCGAAAGTCGACTTTTCCCCTGAAAAAATCCAAGATATGACACTTTGGGCCCCAGGTGAAAAATTTTTTTTTTTCATTTTTTACTTTTCCCATATACTATTGAGAGTTCTGGATAGCCCGTCACTTAAATAGCCGGAATCGACTTTCACCCGGCGAAAAAATTCGATTTTGGCGAAAGTCGACTTTTCCCCTGAAAACATCCAAGATATGACACTTTGGGCCCCAGGTGAAAAAATTTTTTTTTTATTTTTTACTTTTCCCATATACTATTGAGAGGTCTGGATAGCCCGTCACTTAAATAGCCGGAATCGACTTTCCCCCGGCGAAAAAATTCGATTTTGGCGAAAGTCGACTTTTCCCCTGAAAACATCCAAGATATGACACTTTGGGCCCCAGGTGAAAAAATTTTTTTTTTATTTTTTACTTTTCCCATATACTATTGAGAGGTCTGGATAGCCCGTCACTTAAATAGCCGGAATCGACTTTCCCCCGGCGAAAAAATTCGATTTTGGCGAAAGTCGACTTTTCCCCTGAAAACATCCAAGATATGACACTTTGGGCCCCAGGTGAAAAAATTTTTTTTTTATTTTTTACTTTTCCCATATACTATTGAGAGGTCTGGATAGCCCGTCACTTAAATAGCCGGAATCGACTTTCCCCCGGCGAAAAAATTCGATTTTGGCGAAAGTCGACTTTTCCCCTGAAAACATCCAAGATATGACACTTTGGGCCCCAGGTGAAAAAATTTTTTTTTTATTTTTTACTTTTCCCATATACTATTGAGAGGTCTGGATAGCCCGTCACTTAAATAGCCGGAATCGACTTTCCCCCGGCGAAAAAATTCGATTTTGGCGAAAGTCGACTTTTCCCCTGAAAACATCCAAGATATGACACTTTGGGCCCCAGGTGAAAAAATTTTTTTTTTATTTTTTACTTTTCCCATATACTATTGAGAGGTCTGGATAGCCCGTCACTTAAATAGCCGGAATCGACTTTCCCCCGGCGAAAAAATTCGATTTTGGCGAAAGTCGACTTTTCCCCTGAAAACATCCAAGATATGACACTTTGGGCCCCAGGTGAAAAAATTTTTTTTTTATTTTTTACTTTTCCCATATACTATTGAGAGGTCTGGATAGCCCGTCACTTAAATAGCCGGAATCGACTTTCCCCCGGCGAAAAAATTCGATTTTGGCGAAAGTCGACTTTTCCCCTGAAAACATCCAAGATATGACACTTTGGGCCCCAGGTGAAAAAATTTTTTTTTTATTTTTTACTTTTCCCATATACTATTGAGAGGTCTGGATAGCCCGTCACTTAAATAGCCGGAATCGACTTTCCCCCGGCGAAAAAATTCGATTTTGGCGAAAGTCGACTTTTCCCCTGAAAACATCCAAGATATGACACTTTGGGCCCCAGGTGAAAAAATTTTTTTTTTATTTTTTACTTTTCCCATATACTATTGAGAGGTCTGGATAGCCCGTCACTTAAATAGCCGGAATCGACTTTCCCCCGGCGAAAAAATTCGATTTTGGCGAAAGTCGACTTTTCCCCTGAAAACATCCAAGATATGACACTTTGGGCCCCAGGTGAAAAAATTTTTTTTTTATTTTTTACTTTTCCCATATACTATTGAGAGGTCTGGATAGCCCGTCACTTAAATAGCCGGAATCGACTTTCCCCCGGCGAAAAAATTCGATTTTGGCGAAAGTCGACTTTTCCCCTGAAAACATCCAAGATATGACACTTTGGGCCCCAGGTGAAAAAATTTTTTTTTTATTTTTTACTTTTCCCATATACTATTGAGAGGTCTGGATAGCCCGTCACTTAAATAGCCGGAATCGACTTTCCCCCGGCGAAAAAATTCGATTTTGGCGAAAGTCGACTTTTCCCCTGAAAACATCCAAGATATGACACTTTGGGCCCCAGGTGAAAAAATTTTTTTTTTATTTTTTACTTTTCCCATATACTATTGAGAGGTCTGGATAGCCCGTCACTTAAATAGCCGGAATCGACTTTCCCCCGGCGAAAAAATTCGATTTTGGCGAAAGTCGACTTTTCCCCTGAAAACATCCAAGATATGACACTTTGGGCCCCAGGTGAAAAAATTTTTTTTTTATTTTTTACTTTTCCCATATACTATTGAGAGGTCTGGATAGCCCGTCACTTAAATAGCCGGAATCGACTTTCCCCCGGCGAAAAAATTCGATTTTGGCGAAAGTCGACTTTTCCCCTGAAAACATCCAAGATATGACACTTTGGGCCCCAGGTGAAAAAATTTTTTTTTTATTTTTTACTTTTCCCATATACTATTGAGAGGTCTGGATAGCCCGTCACTTAAATAGCCGGAATCGACTTTCCCCCGGCGAAAAAATTCGATTTTGGCGAAAGTCGACTTTTCCCCTGAAAACATCCAAGATATGACACTTTGGGCCCCAGGTGAAAAAATTTTTTTTTTATTTTTTACTTTTCCCATATACTATTGAGAGGTCTGGATAGCCCGTCACTTAAATAGCCGGAATCGACTTTCCCCCGGCGAAAAAATTCGATTTTGGCGAAAGTCGACTTTTCCCCTGAAAACATCCAAGATATGACACTTTGGGCCCCAGGTGAAAAAATTTTTTTTTTATTTTTTACTTTTCCCATATACTATTGAGAGGTCTGGATAGCCCGTCACTTAAATAGCCGGAATCGACTTTCCCCCGGCGAAAAAATTCGATTTTGGCGAAAGTCGACTTTTCCCCTGAAAACATCCAAGATATGACACTTTGGGCCCCAGGTGAAAAAATTTTTTTTTTATTTTTTACTTTTCCCATATACTATTGAGAGGTCTGGATAGCCCGTCACTTAAATAGCCGGAATCGACTTTCCCCCGGCGAAAAAATTCGATTTTGGCGAAAGTCGACTTTTCCCCTGAAAACATCCAAGATATGACACTTTGGGCCCCAGGTGAAAAAATTTTTTTTTTATTTTTTACTTTTCCCATATACTATTGAGAGGTCTGGATAGCCCGTCACTTAAATAGCCGGAATCGACTTTCCCCCGGCGAAAAAATTCGATTTTGGCGAAAGTCGACTTTTCCCCTGAAAACATCCAAGATATGACACTTTGGGCCCCAGGTGAAAAAATTTTTTTTTTATTTTTTACTTTTCCCATATACTATTGAGAGGTCTGGATAGCCCGTCACTTAAATAGCCGGAATCGACTTTCCCCCGGCGAAAAAATTCGATTTTGGCGAAAGTCGACTTTTCCCCTGAAAACATCCAAGATATGACACTTTGGGCCCCAGGTGAAAAAATTTTTTTTTTATTTTTTACTTTTCCCATATACTATTGAGAGGTCTGGATAGCCCGTCACTTAAATAGCCGGAATCGACTTTCCCCCGGCGAAAAAATTCGATTTTGGCGAAAGTCGACTTTTCCCCTGAAAACATCCAAGATATGACACTTTGGGCCCCAGGTGAAAAAATTTTTTTTTTATTTTTTACTTTTCCCATATACTATTGAGAGGTCTGGATAGCCCGTCACTTAAATAGCCGGAATCGACTTTCCCCCGGCGAAAAAATTCGATTTTGGCGAAAGTCGACTTTTCCCCTGAAAACATCCAAGATATGACACTTTGGGCCCCAGGTGAAAAAATTTTTTTTTTATTTTTTACTTTTCCCATATACTATTGAGAGGTCTGGATAGCCCGTCACTTAAATAGCCGGAATCGACTTTCCCCCGGCGAAAAAATTCGATTTTGGCGAAAGTCGACTTTTCCCCTGAAAACATCCAAGATATGACACTTTGGGCCCCAGGTGAAAAAATTTTTTTTTTATTTTTTACTTTTCCCATATACTATTGAGAGGTCTGGATAGCCCGTCACTTAAATAGCCGGAATCGACTTTCCCCCGGCGAAAAAATTCGATTTTGGCGAAAGTCGACTTTTCCCCTGAAAACATCCAAGATATGACACTTTGGGCCCCAGGTGAAAAAATTTTTTTTTTATTTTTTACTTTTCCCATATACTATTGAGAGGTCTGGATAGCCCGTCACTTAAATAGCCGGAATCGACTTTCCCCCGGCGAAAAAATTCGATTTTGGCGAAAGTCGACTTTTCCCCTGAAAACATCCAAGATATGACACTTTGGGCCCCAGGTGAAAAAATTTTTTTTTTATTTTTTACTTTTCCCATATACTATTGAGAGGTCTGGATAGCCCGTCACTTAAATAGCCGGAATCGACTTTCCCCCGGCGAAAAAATTCGATTTTGGCGAAAGTCGACTTTTCCCCTGAAAACATCCAAGATATGACACTTTGGGCCCCAGGTGAAAAAATTTTTTTTTTATTTTTTACTTTTCCCATATACTATTGAGAGGTCTGGATAGCCCGTCACTTAAATAGCCGGAATCGACTTTCCCCCGGCGAAAAAATTCGATTTTGGCGAAAGTCGACTTTTCCCCTGAAAAATCCAAGATATGACACATTGGGCCTCAGGTGAAAAAAAATTTCATTTCTGGATGAATTTTACAAGGGTCAACCTCATTGTTTATTGATCTCTATTGAATTCGTCGTGTAATCGTCTTTCGTCTTGACATTAATTCGTTTCCTTCGGCATTCGTAAATGACAAATTCCTACAATACTCTCGACCCCTAAATCACAGAATGTGCTGCCCCCTCTCGTCTCCACCCGCCCCAAACCTTCTTTTACCACTTACCATCACGAGATAACCGACAGAAAACCTCTACCCGCCGCTTCCATTTACACCAGCCCCTTGGGAGGGGGCAGCGGCTGCCGCGGCTCGGGACGCCTCGCGGTCGCGTCGCCAGTTGGGTGGCAACTGTCAGGCATGCGGTTCACCTTCCGCCTCTCCCGGAAACAACCGTCATCCTCGTGCTGTTCAAACTGAACAGAAAAAACTAACAAATAAACTAACGTCAGTCCATCGTTTTTATACAACAAAACTCATTCCTCGATTGTTAATCGCGACATCATCTTAAATTCGTTGAACATGTGACATTGCTAGTGTTGACAAATAATCCGGTGAAGTAATAGTGAACAGAGTGAAGTGATAGTGGAGCAAGTGCAAACTGAGTGGAGGTTTAATCCCTGTCCATCGGTCGGGGGTGTGGATTACTTATGCAAGGGGGTTGATAACAAAAGACTATGGTTGCCAAGCATTTCACGCAGGGTAAGATGCCTTTTTGTAATTATTCGCGGGGGTTAATACCCCCTGTGTCCGTCTGTTTACCTGTATCGATTCATTGTTGTTATTGTGCGGGTATGAACTGCATAATAATTCAATATATTCGCATGGTTAATTCAGGTTGAAGCGAGTATATTGATGGGATTGAGTGAATTCAGTCAATTGTCGGTGCTTTTGTGTTTTATTATTTTTTGAAATTTATTCTTCGAGATTTCGTGGAGACTTTGGGGTGGCGTTCCAGGGAGGACTCTTCTCTGGAACTTCTATTGGTGTGATTGAAGGAATTCTATCAATTGGCGTTGTTTTTTATTTTTTTATTTTTTTTATTCAATAGCGAAGCAAAACGGTTCAAGTCGATTTTGAGTGTTGGCCAGGTTTGGATGAGTATCTCGGAATCTAAGGCAGATAGCAAAATTTTTGTTATAACCTTTTTTTTAGAGCAAACTGAGAGCTGCGAAAAAGGTAATTATGAAAATTTCGTTACCTCCCTTAAATTCGGAGATATTTCTCATCAAAAAGTGATGTTTTTATTTCAACGAGCCTTTGGGGTGGAGTTCCGGGGAGTCTTCTTCCCTGGAACTCCACGTTTAATTCAGCTTCAGAAGATATTGGTGTGATTGATGGAATTTTGTCAATTGTCGTTGTTTTTTATTTTTTAACTTCCCGACCCGAAAGGAGGAAGTTATTGTAATGACCCCGAAAATCGAATTTGGAATTTCCATGATTTCTCCACATTTCTCGGCCTCTCGAATCATCCTAAAACGTTTTTGGAGACATGTCTGTATGTGTGTGTGTGTCAGATCCTGCCAGCTATGACATTTCAATCATTTTGATAGTCCCAAGAGTCTATTAAGAGTGAAGTACGATTGGAGTTATTATTTTAGTCAATAAGAAAAGTTATAGACACCAATGCAGAGTGATTTATTGAATGATAAGAGAGAAAAATCACATTTACATCAACTCGTGCTACGACAGAGTTAATTCTTAAGCCACAAGTTAAGAAACTCACAATTTTAAAACGTTGATATCTCCGTTACAATAGTAAAATGGAATTAAAAATCCCTTGGCTAAGGTTTCGAATAGTTAAAAATTTAATAAAAATGCATAAATTATAGCAATATTCGTATATTTCACTGAAATATTGCCAATTAAAAGAATAGGTACAATGAAAATGGCATTGATCCTACGCTCGTTTTGCACCCCTGTCAACTGGTAACGGACTAAACGGATGAAAAAATCATTTAAAAGATTGGACTGTCCAATGGAAATATAATTTTGCGCATCGAGATATTTTTTAATGTTGTTTTATCACAAAATAGGATACTCACGATGTAATTAGTTCGGATATAACCTTTCCATATCACTCAAATCACGAGACGAGGATAGGGACATGTGTCAAACGAGCATGGGGACAAATGAACGAGCGTAGGGACATGGAACTTTTCACATTCATGGACGATTATTTATTAAAAAATAGTAATTATCATAATTAATATAAATAAATTTCAATTCTGAAGGTTTTACCCTCTGATATGTAATTCAAATCATCGCATCTTCACGCTCATTTCGATAGAAATATTGGACTGATGATGTGTTCACCTTAGCTAGACGAGCGTAGGGTCATTTACCTTAGTATATTTTCTCTCGTTGACATGTGAAAATGGGGTTTATTTCGTTTTACGACTTTTTTTTCGCCGATCTGGTATTTCGTCCCCTGGTCTATTGCTGGAACATTGTCTAGGCTCTTTTAATGGGGGAGGGGAACATCTGGAGATGAAGGTGGCATTGACCCGAGAGAGGTCCAGACAAATTGGGAGGATGTGGCCTTTTTTCCCTTTGAGTCTAGCGTCTCTTTTTATTTCATTTCATCGACGTCTACCTGGGATTTCCCCCGGAGAGCGGAGGACGTCGCGGACGTAGAGCCCTCTTTTCCGTTGAAAGACAGGGGAGAGAGTTGATAATTTTTTGCACAACCAGTATTCACTGGTGCACGCCAGCTCCACTGTACGATTTTGTGCGTATACCTGTAGTGATGCAATAAAGAGCGGACGTGACGCGCATTTTTGTGATAAATAAAAAGTCGGGGGGTTCTGTTCAATCGGAGGGAATCGATGAGTCACTGGTAAATACCGGAGGCTTATCGAACATTGTTGACTCGCCAAAAAATATTTTTTTGGATTTTCTGAGTGAGAGAAACGAAAGAATTTCAGAAACCTCCCACTCGCCAAAAAACACTTTTTTGCACTCGTTACGAAATATACTATTTTTTTAGTGATGTTACGTTCAGCGAATGCCGAACTGTGCCATTTTTCGTTTACTAGTACTGAAGAATTTGAAATTATGTCACTGAAGAATTTGAAAATGCCGCGTGTTTTTTTTGTGAATAACTTCGTGTCACATATTGACCAATCAGAATTAAGGATTAGCGGTCAGGCAGTGTCGAGATATTTCGATATAAAACAACTTCACGTTTCGTTCATCTTTAGTAAATAGGAAAAGCACTTGTTGGAATTCATGCCTGAATACAAAAATTAATTTCTTAGTTTAGTTAAACATTTTCTCTTTTCCACCCAAACACTCAGGGTGACATTTATGGCTTTTCTTAGAAAATAGAGACGTGAAGAAAAACAGTCCTCATGGTGAGTCACAAAGGAGAGGCTGAAGAAAATTGAAACAAGGGCCTTTTGTCAAATGGGTCCAGAGAGTGAAAACTCTCATGACTTTTAGTTAGTCGTCCTAGAGACTTCGTTGGAGAAAGATATACCTTCTGCGTGCGATCATTAAAGAGTTTTACTTTGAAGAATAAAACTAATGTGTTTTTATTGAGTATTCCTACACATAATCCAATAGCACTCGTTAGGGGGATAATTAAGTAATGATCAAGCGCTCTTTAAACGGATTAACATCTAAAATTTTTGTTCATTGTTTAATTATCTCGGTGATGAGCAGTTTTGCAGCGAATGTCACGAGCCATTTCCTGGTAGCTCTACGGAGAGAATAGCATTTTTGACCTTTTTCGATAAAATCACTCATTAAGGGGATAAATAATTAAGTAATCCCCAAGCGCTGTAAAATGGAGTAAAATATTGAACAGAAACATTCATCATGTCGGTAATCAGCAAATCTTCGAGAAAATGTCGAGAAATCCCTTCTGACCTTTTTCGATAAAATCGCTCATTAAGGGGATAATTAAGTAATCACCAAGTGCCTGTCAAATTGAGTAAAATTCAAAATTTATGTTAATTGTCTAATTATCTTGGTAATGAGCAGTTTTACAGCGCATGTCACGAGCCGTTTTCTGGTAGCACTACCGAGAGAATAGCATTTTTTGCCTTTTTCGATAAAATCACTCATTAAGGGGCTAAATAAGTAATCACCAAGCGCTGGAAAATTGAATAACATACAAAATTCATCTCGGTAATGAGCAATTTTACAGTGAATGCCACGAGCCTTTTTCTGGTGGAACTACCGAGAGAATAGCATTTTTCCGGGCTGCTGCGGTGGGGTTTTTTCACTCGTGAAGTTAGCCGGTCCTCGCCTTCGGCTCGGACGCCAACTCCAAACGGGTAAAAAACCCTCATGGCAACACCCCGGAACAAGATTTTTTTGTAGTGATTTTCAAGTTTCCAAGTTTGGTAAGTATGCGATATCAATTCCCTCGTGAGGAATCGTCAGAGCAGTACAGAAAATAAATACGTGGTTTACAGACCAAAAAATCTTTGAAATTCCATACCAAAAATTTATTACATAATTTTTTATTTTTTGTTCTTTCGTATACCCGCTCGGATTTTTACGATTTGTTCCCCCCCCCCCC